GACAAGAATTAAATAATTTTCCAAAGTAATAAAATTTTATACAATAGTTTAATTATTTTCAAAAATTGTAATAGAAATCTTTGCTAAAATTCAATTATTTTTATTAACTACTAAAACTCTTCGTAGGAATTCAATTATTTTCTTTAAGGTCATGTTATTCAGTGGTCACGTGCCCCATATACTTTACTATGGGAACACGTGACCACTGAATAACATGACCTTAAATACTAAAATTCTTTACAGAAATTTGTAATAAAGTATTAAATTATATTCTGTAAAAATTAGAAAATGATACAATTTGTTGATAAAAATTTAATTATGTTAATTTTTTAATAAAATTCTTGAAAAATTAATTTTCTTTATAGAATTTAAAAACTAACTTTTCAGAATTTTAAATACAATTTCTTTAAAGAATTCAATTATATTAAAAAATTTTTATTAAATTCTTCAAAAAAATTTCAATTATTTTCATAAATAATAAGATTCTTCAGAAGATTTCAATTGTTTTCAATATCATTTTAATAAAATTTCACAAAAGGATTCAATTTTGAAAAAAACACAAAGATATTCTTCAAATTAATTAAATTATTTACAAAAATTCTAATTAAAATTGTTTAAAAAAATAATTATACTACTTTATATTTTCATTTATTATATTACTTTATTACTTGACACAAGAAAATGAATTTCTTTCTTCAAATAAATATGGGATTAATTGAATATAATTTTTAATCAACTTGAAACAAATATTTACTTATATTAACCTTCGTATTTTCTTGAATCAGGATTATATGAGCGTTGAATTAAGTAAAAACTTTTTTAAAGGAAACAAAAGAATGATTTAATTCAAGATCTTACACTTAATTGAATTGAATAAATAAAATATTTCATTCCAGAAAATATAACATTCTCGCAAGAAATTACATCTTACACCTTACACCTTACATCTTACACTTAATTGAATTGAATAAATAAAATATTTCATTCCAGAAAATATAACATTCTCGCAAGAAATTAATGATTTTGAAACATGAGAATATAGAAATGCTTAGATTAATTAATATTTCTTTGAAACAAAATAATTTTTAATTGAGTTGAAACAATTATTAACTTGTATTAATCTTCCCATTTTCTTGGCTCAAGACTATGAGTGTTGGATGAAATAAATAGTTGCTTTAAAGGAAATAAAAAAATTATTTGACTCAAGATACCAAATGACTCAAGGTAAATTACTTGACGTGAGAACATGATATTCTTGATTCAATACTTTTTCGAGACTTGGCGCATGTAAAACAGTTCGTTTGAAACAGTAAGATATTTTCTTATGTCAAACCCATATTTTCTTATTTCAATAACTTTGATCAATGCTCAAAATTACTTGACACAAGAAAATAAATTTCTTCCAATAAGAAAATATGGGTTTGTTTCAAATAAATCAGGTCAAGAAAATGCATTTACTTGATTCAATGAACTTTTTTTTTCAGTGTAGGTTTCATATAATTTTCAGATAATATATTTCCAGATATCAAAGTTCCAAGTGGAAAATATTAATTATTGAAAATTGATTTTATTAATTAATTCAGACTGTTAAATTCTATACCTAACATATTTAAATGAGAAGGTGTCATTTCTACGATCGCTGAACAATTTAATATTTAAGCGTTGAAGGGAAATTTTCGAGAGAGAGAGAGAGAGAGAGAGAGAGAGAGAGAGAGAGAGAGAGAGAGAAATATGTAAATTATTAATTGATCAGAGAGAAAAGATCATGTCAAAAGAAGTGCTTGTCGGGTCAAGAAGAAAGGAGAAGACCCCCAAACCGACCATCTCAACTTGGGAGTCGTGTTCAATTAAACCGTCACCACCCGTGGAAAACTTTTATATGAATGGGTTTCATTACGTCGTGGACTTATTAAAGCATCCTTCACAGTGACATTAATATCGCATGACGGGAGGTTTTGTTGTCGAGAATCTTGGCTTTTTTACCTTTAGCAACACAAGACTGATGTCCTTTTTTTCTTACTTAAATCGTTTAAAGTTTATGCACCTTAAACTCATGGAATTATAATATCCATACAATGTTCTTTAGTTATAGAAATGTCACTAATTCTTAAGTAATTTCCGGAAAAAATTAAAACATTGAATCCTTTTTTTTACTGTCCCTCTGAATTTAGTTCAAAAATTTTTTTCTGTTACATTTATCATTGTTTCTATTACTATTAATTTTTCTGTTCTATTGTATAATTAGTTTTTTATCTTGTTATTTAATTATTTTTTTGATTTAAATAAAAACTATTTAAATAATTAATTGATAATAGTCAAATAATTAGCTCTAAAAATTCACATTCAATTCATAATTCATTCAATTATTATCTAAAATTTTAACTAAATTATATATTTAAAAAATTTCTTGTTAGAAAGTTAAATGAGAATTCAATTCTTTAAATCCATAAAAAAAATAATTGATTATTTCTTAAAATTAAATTATTTCAAAGAATTTATCGAAGAATTTTTTAAAAACTTTATATTAAAAATAATTGACATTCTCCAAAGAAGATTATCATTTATAAAAATAATTCTATTGTTGCAACGAATTTAATGAAAATTTTTTTTGATATAATTGAATTCCTGAGAAAAATTTTACTATATCTAAAAATAATTGAATTTTTTCGAAGAATTTTATTACAATTTTTGAAAATAATTAAAACCCTCCGCAGATATTTAAATATTTTTTAAAAAATAATAAATAATTGAATTCTTTGGATAAAATTTATAGCAATTTTTGAAAATAATTGAATTCCTGCATAGAATTTTACAATTTTTGAAAACAATTGAATTCTTGAAACAAATTTTTATTATTTATGAAAATAATTGAATTCCCGAGATGAACTTAAGTAATTAAAGAAAATAATTAAGTTTTTTAAAAGAATTCTATAACAATTTTTGAAAATAATTGAATTTCAAGTCAGAAATTTATTATTATTAAAAATATTTGAAATAAATGAATTTCTGGAAAGAATATTACTAGTCCTATTTCCTAATGATGATTTAACTCTTACGATAAATTTTATTATGTTCAATTTTTAAGAAAAATTGAAATCCTGCAAATAATTTGATTATTTATAAAAATAATTCAATTCATGCAATGAATTTTATTAAAATATTTTGAAATAATTGAATTACTGAGAAGAATTTTACTATTTTTAAAAATAATTGAATTTCTTCACAGAATATTAATATTTTTAAGAATAATTTAATTGGAACGAAAAATTTTATTTTAATTATTGAGAATAATTGAATTTCTGAAATTAATTTGATTATTTATTAAATTATTTGAAGTCTTGTAATGAATACCTACAATTTTTGAAAATAATTGAATTCTTGCATAGAATTTTATTACAAATTTTGAAAATAATTGAATTTCTGTAAAGAATTTTAGTATTTAAAGAAAATAATTGAATTTTAGCAAGGATTTCTATTACAATTTTTGAAAATAATTGAATTCTGGGTTAAACATTTATTATTCTTGAAAATAATTAAATTCTTGAAAAGTATTTTCTTACAATTTTTAAAAATAATAAAAATCTGCGAAGAATTTTACTACTTAATGAAAATGACTCAAGTTTTGTGAAGAATTTTACTATTGAAAGAAAATAATTAAATTCTTGCACAGAATTTTATTACAAATTTTGAAAATAATTAAATTTTTGTGAAGAACTTTATTACAATTTTTGAAAATAATTGAAATCCGGTCCAACATTTTATTTAAATTTTGGAAAATAATTGAATTCCTGCTCAGAATATTATTATTTTTAAAAATAAAAATAATTTTATGAAATAATTGAATTCCTCTTATAATTTTACTATTTCTAAAAATAATTGAATGTTTGCAAAGAATTTTATTATAATTTTTTTTTTTAAATTTCTTTTTAAAAATTTGGAAAATAATTACATTTTTTATTTTGGAGAAGAATTTCATTAATTGTAAAAATAATTGAATTTCTCTAATTTGATTTTTTATGATAACAAATTAATGAATTATTTGCTTCAAATTCTATTAACAATTTTTTTTAAATAATCTATTGAAATCTTTTGTGAAATTTTATTAAAATTGTAGATATTGAAAATAATTAAATTTCAGCAAAGAATTTCATTATTTGGAAAAATAATTAAATTCTTGAGAAAAATTTTATTAAAAGTTTTGAATTTTGGACCCAAGGCCACAATATAAACAATTTTATTTGACAAAAATTAAGGTCCTGAAAACACTCTACGTTAAAGAACATTATTTAAATTTTTAATAATATTTTTTTTCATTATTAGGTAATTTTCCTTTCTTAAAAAAGACATGGAGTGGAAAGGTCGAATGTATCGAAAAGTATCGAAGTAAAGAATGGGCAATGAGAATGTAAAATCTTAATAGAAGGGTGTTTTTAAAATTGTTTGTACATGTGAAGGTGGCGCTGCAGTCGTATGTTATTTAAAAAGAGCGCGAATATATAAATTTTATTTTTGTTAAGAGAAAGTACTCATAATAAATCTTATTTTGCATTGTCAAAAAAAACGTCAACATTTCAAATATAAATAAGCAAATTATTAACTGAAAAAATTTGAATATTATTATTAATGAAATAATGGACTCGGACAATGGACATATTAAAACTAGCACCGTAGACGGCCGCTTGCGGCCGTCGGAGGAGCTAGTAAGTTTAAAAAAAAGAAAAAAGTGGTTTTTAGTGTCACAAATCTTAAAAGTATTATTTAATTATTTTTTTCTTAATAAAACGTTCATTTGAACATTACAAATTTTGAGAACATATTTTTTCTATTCAAGCGCTATAGTTATAATAAATTATTATTATAGAAAATTTAATGGAATATTCTTTAAAAAATAGTTCATAGTTTCTTTATAAATTTCTCTTTCTCTCTCTTCTTTAATAGAAAATTATTGAAATAAATTTTTTTTCTTAAAATATAGTAAAAAAAAAAAAGATTCAACTTACTCTTGATTTTCAAGAAGCCATTAAAATTGCAAAACCATCCTCTCTCGTTAAGGTAAAAATATTTCCTAGTTATTAAATTTCTGACTGACTGCCAACAGTCCAATCTGGAACAAAAAAGCAGGATGAATGAATTACTGATGCGTTGAGTTTAAATGAGTTTAAAGTATTGGCTTTCAATTCAAAGGATACTCCATTATACGCACAGGTTGTCCAGGGTGCTTAATAATTAATAATTAGAATATTACGCCTACCTGACTAACTTAATTAAAATTATGGATTCAAGAATTCATACATACGTTTCCGTCTCTTCTATTTCATATACTCAAAAACAATGTCGATATTAATTAATATCTTGAATAAAAAGAATTAAAAAAAAATAAAATAAAAAACCCCAAAAAAATAAAAATGAAATAAAAACAAAAATATAAACTTATTTCTTATTTCGTTTATATTTTTAATTTTTGTTTTTATTTCAATTTAATATTTTTCGGGGGTTTCTAATTTTTTTTATTCTTTTTATTCAAAATATTAATTAAACGAAATAAATACAAAAAAAATTAAAGATTTTTTTAAGAGCTAAAAATTAAAAATTCCCGCTTTTGATAACAAATTGAAAAAAAGGAAAAAAAATATACTTATTTTCTGGAGGATTGTTTAACTTTTCGATATATAATTAAATAAAATGGTAAACCTTGTTTTCTTGAGGCAAATATTTTTCTCAAATAACTTGATGTTTACTTGGGAATAGGTAACATTGGAATGAAAGTAAGGGAGTAAGATTGCACAGGTTGGTAATTTAATTTGTCAACAGAATAAGGATAGGTTTTGAGCTAGAAGAAATCGAAGGAGGAAAGAAAAATTCTGGTACATCGTACAATTTACAAGAAATAAGAAAGAAGTTTCTGATTTAGGAGCACACTCCAAATTACGAGTCACGCAACCAATGAGAGATTTATACATTTCTGCACTTAGAGCAAATTGTACTTTAATTTCAAAAATAAATAATTTAATAAAACAGTATTAAACAAGTAAATAAGAAAATCGAAAATTAAACAAAGAAGTCGAAAATTAAATAATTGAAAAAAAAATCCTAAAATAATTGATTATTTCTTAAAATTAAATTTTTCCAAAGAATTTTATTAAAAATTTTAAGCATATCTATAATAATCATTTTTTTAATGATAATTTAATGATAATAAAAATTATTTGATCAAAGTAATTATTTAATTGCTAACAGTCCAGTTATCGGTTGTTTGAATCAAATTAACATTTTTTCAGTGTAAATAAAAATTAAACAATGAAATAAAAAAATCAAGACCATTAAAATTATCTGAAATTAACACTTGTGTAATATAAAATTTTCAACTATCATTAAAATACTAAATATTATCCCTTTAGAGATAAAAAATTTGTAGAATCACATATTAAACGAAAAAAAAGAAGAAAGAATTACTATAGTCGAAGGGAATTACTCAAGATGTATAGTCACGAAGGTTATAAACTAGTAATTGCTGCCAATTTTATAGGAAACGATTATAATTATGGATACCATCTGGTTGGACCAACCGGTTTTACAATAATAACGGAACGAGGAGTAGAAAGAATTTTTTATTTCTTGTCAATAAGAAAATTATCAAGAAACGTGTATAAGAATCTATCTCCCTATAATAAGAACCCACCTATAACATATATTTTAAATACCTACACTTTTTAATAATGAGGCTAAAAAAGATTGGTCAGAAACTCCCAAAAGATCAACCAGGCTCAATAAATAAAAAAAAAATAAATAAAATTTTATTTTCACACTCAATAATTAATTTTAAAAATGTATCAAAAAGTAACATTAATACTGCAAAAAGTAGTAAAAAAGTAGCTATCAAAGATTAATTTTAACGAAAAAAAAATTGTTTTAGCCGATTCACCAAAATTTGATTCAATATTTCCCTGACTGTTTTCTGATTTCAATCAAAAATATTTATTTCCATTCTAATCCTGCTCTAAATTTTTGAAAAATTCAATTATTTTCTAAATTTCTATCCTAAAAAATACAATTGTATTAAAAAGTAATTTTTAAAAGTAAACAAATAAAATTATTTAATAAAATTTAATTTAAATTCTTCACAGGAATTAAGAAAATAAATTCATAATTTTTCAAAGTAAAAATTTAAATGTTATTACAGTTTTACAACAATTAAAATTTTCAACGATTTCGATTAAATAATCTTTTGAAATTTGGTTACTTCTAAAAAAAATTGTACTATAACGCTTTTAATATTCAATTATCTAAAATTCCAAATGAAATTTGTTTTTGAATTAATTCTTATTACAAAGTTCAACTGAAAGAAATTAAACTATTTAAATACAAAAATAAATAATACCTATACTGAATAATTGTGAATAATTAAAGATAGAATTATTAATTTTTAAATAAATAATTGAATTACTAAGAAGAATTTTATTATTTATTAAAATAATTGAATTCTCGTAAAAATTATTATTATTTGTGACAATAATTGAATAATTCTTAAGAATTAAAGAAAGAATTCAAGAATTAATCAATTTTTTAAAAAATAATTAAATTTCTGAGAAGAATTTTATTATTTATCAAAATAATTGAATTCTTTAGAAGAATTCTATTTAATTCTTTTTAAATAATTAAATTCACGTGAAAAATTTTATTATTTGGGTAAATAATTGAAAAATTGTAAAGAATTAAAGAAAGAATTATCAATTTTTTGAAAAAATAATTGAATTACTAAGAAGAATTTTATTATTTATGAAAATATTTGAATTCTTGAGAAGAATTTTATTGAATTCTTTTTCAATTATTAAATTCTCATGAAAAATTTTTGAAAATAATTAAATTCCTGCTAAGAATTTTATTACAAATTTTGAAAATAATTGAATTCCTTGGCAGAATGTTATTATTTTTGAAAATAATTGAATTCCACCGTAGAAATTAATTGCAAATTTTGAAAATAATTGAATTTTTTCTAAGTATTTTCTTACAATTTTAGAAAATAATTTAAAACCTGCGAAGAATTTTACTCTCTAATGAAAATTATTGAATTCTTGCCAAGAATTTTATTACAATTTTTTAAAATAATTGAATTCTTGCAAAGAATTTTATTACTTTGGAAAATTATTTAACTAATGTCCAAAATTTTAATATTTATGAAAATAATTGAATTCTCGTGATAAATTTTATTATTTGGGAAAATAATTGAATAATTATGAAGAATTAATGAAAGAATTATCAATTTTTGAAAAAATAATTGAATTACTAAGAAGAATTTTATTATTTATGAAAATATTTTAATTTTTGCAAAAAATTGTATTGAATTCTTTTTAAATAATTGAATTCTCGTGAAAAATGTTATTGCTTGTGAAAATAATTGAATGCTTGAGGTTGAATTTTATAAAAAGTTTTTAAATTGATTTTCTTCGGAAAATTTGATGAAATAAATTTCAAATAAATCAATTCCTGTGAAAATTTTATTACTTATAAAAAAATCGAATGTTTGAGAAGAATTTTATCAAAAATCTTTTGTGGAATTTCATTAAAATCGAATAGATTTTGAAAATCACTGAATTTCGAACAGTTTTTGATAATAATTGAATCGTTTTAAATAATTTTATTACAATTTTTAGAATTTTTTTTTATTTCAACTATTAGCGAATTTAAATATTTTAAAGTGATGCAAATTTTCCCCAAAAATAAAGAAGAAAAAAGAAGCTTTTAGTGTCATAAATCTAAAAAAAGTATCCAAATAGTAGCAAATTGTAAAGAAAGTAGTAAATAGTAGGTTTCAGTAGATGAGTGCGAAGCCTGCAACCCTTTTATTACATCATTATAACCAACATTTATTTTGCGAGAAAATAATTTTCGTAAAGAAAAAAATTTGAGTCTTCTTTTTTTTGGATAATTTATGAATTATAAAAGACTAACTTTTAATTAGTTTTTATATATAATAAATGCAGTTCTGCACGGGAGGTATTATGAAATCTGTATTTTTCTTTGAAAATCTCGGTAGAAACCTGTAAATACCAAGTGCTTATTAAAAAAAATTCTTTTTTTATATATAAAATCCTTTTTTTTTAAAATACATTTTTAGTTTTTCAATCTTTTAGGTATATATTCAATTAAAATTCTCATCACGAAGTGAAGTGACGCGGAAAATTTTTTCTTAGATGAAAAGACTTCTGGTCCTCGTGGCAATTTAAGAAGTCAATAAAGCCTCTATGAAAAATTCATCCATGGAAAATTTAATTAATCGTAGAAGAAGTTAAGTACTCAAGTGCTCCATAAAGAACTTTTTACTAAGCCATATATATACCTATATAAGGAACATTGAGATTACTTATATTTAATATACAGAATTTACGGAAAAAATACATTACTTAACTTATGCTAAAATTGCATAAACTTCGCATAATAACGTGAAAATGAAATATTAGAAAAAAAGAGAAATTGAAAATAATTGGAAAGAATAGAGAGAGAAAGAGAGAAAGAGAGAAAGAGAGAAAGAAAAAAAGGTAATAAAATTCAAATATTCTGGATTAGATGCATTCCAGACGTAAATTGTATGTTCAAACAATCGAATCCCATCAGCTCCGTCACTTGGGTTAACACGAATTCACCATTAAGCTAATCCGCTATTCTCTCGGCAATCGCAATAGTGGTTAATCGTCTTCATTCTAGATTAAAATCATTATTAATGGCAAATAAAAAGCAAGCCACAAATATTTATCCAGTATAAAATAAAATTTCATTGGGAATATTTATTGCATTCTTAACCTACATGTAGAATAGAATTTAAAATATTATCAAATATTTTCAATAATTAATTAACGAGTTTTGTGTTTCACGAATCTTATTATAATTATGAAAATTATTAAATTCTTCAGAAGTTGTTGAGTTTTTACAAAATATTCAATTATTATCTAAAATTTTAACTAAAATTTATATTTAAAAAAATAAATTACTTCTTGTTAAAAAGTTCAATGAGTATTAAATATTTTAAATATAAAAATAAATAATTGATTATTTCTTAAAATTACATTCGTATAAAGAATTTTATAAAAAATTGTATAATTAATTAAA